TGATAATATCTGTATAGCATAATCTATTCTATTTTATAAGAAAAAAGAGTTTAAAGAAATCGTATAAGATATTAGCAGATTTATGAACTTAATTAGACTAAAGGTGTGTTGTGTCATTTCTTTTGAATTTTTTTTACCGTAAAAAGATTTAAACCTCCGTGACTTACAGTTACAGCCCAAAGAGGCACTTAATTCATTTTTGGTGGCTATGGAGCCAAAACTGGGTGGTTCAGATGTGCTGATATAATTCATGAAAATAATCATCATATTTGGACATGTTTCTCTTTTCGCGCGTGAGGACGGGCCAACAAGTGACCAAAGATTGGAGGGCACCCGGAAAGCCGCTCCCAGAGCGCCTTTGAAGACTCGAAAGAAAGACTTGAAACGACGCGCACGAACGTGCCTCTGAAATTCTCAACTTTGGAAACGCACGGCTTAAGGAGTGGCGTAGTCATCCACCGACAATTAGGCACCATTTTCTCTCTAGTCAAGTTGTGCTGCATGCATACTTTTCCTTTGAGTGCAAGAGATGTCTTTTTGTTGCATAATTGGAATTGAGACTGTTGATTGACATGTTACAGCTAGAACAACTGGTCCTTACCTAATGACGATGTCTAAATCAATGATTAGGATGAGTGATTAAGACCGCAAAATCCAACTGTAAATTGCAATTTTTCTCAAAATTTTTTTTTTTTTATAAATACATTTCTCAAATAACCTTTTACGTCACATATATTAAATCACTAGTATATTTTTCTATAAAATTTTGAGAAAATAGCAATCTCAACTGGCTCTTAAATATCAAGTTATCAATAGATGCCAATGCTAGTATTAGATAGAGTTTAGATTGAGCATTATAGAAGAGGATGGGCAATGGTATATCTACAGCTGCCTGAATGGCGGCCGATGCCTAAATAGAGCTTGTTAGGTACGCTCCTCATTACGCGATAGCTCTCCAATTGATGTTTCCAGAAAATGGGGCAAAGGAAATGGACATACTGCAGATTGCAAATGCTTTGACTTCCATTAAAAGATCCATTGTGGGCATTGGGATGACAGGCTGTCATAAACAAGTGATACCCTAAATGAATGATCAATTAAGCATTTGCTAGGTGGTCCCTTATATTGTCCTTTGGACCGTTTTTTTTATGATTCTCTGAGTGTTAATATAATTGTGTGCGTGTGTTCTTGGCTTCTTGTGAGAAGAAAAAAATTAAGCAATTCTTCTCCTAACAGGGAAGGGGAAGATAAGTTGAAACAAGAATTAGGATGACAAGAGTCAATTTGAAAAGGCTTAGAGCCTAGGCACTGAACCATATCAGATTATCAAGTAACGATTTGTAGTTTTGTAGAATAAAACTACGTAGAACCTGCATTATTCACAGTAAGTAAGTGATAAGTGCATTACGATTATTGGTCTACAATCTACACATGGACGTGTCTATGACACTCGTGCATTTGATCTTCCCTTTAGCCTAATTTTGTCCTTTATCTAATGATTGTTGCCAAACCTTTTAACGTTCCGCAATTTATAGGTCAGTCATAGATCCCCCGTTCATTATTCCAACACTGCCAGTTTGGAGGACTTGCCAAACTATGCAATTTGACTCGAAATTTTCTAGAAGTCAACCGAAAGATCTAGCTTCTATGTTGTGGTCACATATGAGTTACAGAAATTTTTGGGTTAGATGTTGATGCCAAAAGTTAGATGTAGATCATTACCACCTCATAGGTTGATAGTAAATTAGTAACTGCACAAGTGACTAATCGCGGGTATTTAGAAGAAATTTTTTTTTGTCCGTAACGGCACATCTAACCCACTCCTACTCCTAAGGAGGGGGGAGCCTACTTTATGAAATGGTCCAACTGAGTCGGAGGAAGACGTAGACTGAACCACCATCAAATTCAGACCAGACCAGTGCACTATGCACCTGTATGGATTTCAATCCAATAGTAGTCTTTTTTTTTTTTTTTTTAGTTGTTTGTTGGGAGGCTCACTACTGATGATCACCTTTACAGAATATATTGTCAGTAGTGTGCGTGTATATAAGATTAATTCAAAATTAATCACCAATCCTAACTTTTTGTTGAACATAATTCTTTTAAGAATTTCGTTTTTGAGAATTGCACAGTGGTACATTTCTTTCAGATCAAGTTTGAATACAGCTGTTAGTTATTTTGGGCTTAGCCTGCATAAGTAAGCCCATAAAGTAATGAGTGCACTTTAGCGTATTGTGACATCCTTCCTCCATCAGATCAAAGATGCTAATCTTTTTTGATTTAATGGAGGCTCCAGATTTTACAAGTGAAACGGAAAAGGGCAGAGTTTGAGAATCGTTCAATTAAGATGCATCTTGGGAACCAAAAATCCTAATCTAATCGCAACAAATGCAGTTGGTTCATCAGCAGCAGCTGGCCAACCTAAAAACAAAGAAAAAGAACCTCTTGTGACCTTCACCATTCACTTGGGCCTTGGCGACCAAATATCTGAAGTCAGAAGCCTTATCAGATGATATGGGTCTTATGAGGCCCAATCAGTCATTATTTTCCTGGTCCGTAGCCCAAGAGCGTTATCATGATCAAATGGAATCGGTTGAGAACCCAGAAAACAATTACGGATTTCATTAATTTTGCAGAATGGAAGGCGTTCAACGGTTCACTCACCGCCTCTTTCCCGTGCCCATAGTAGCACAAAAATGCCTCCAGAAAACCTTCACCAAAACCCCATTGACGACGACCCACCTAGCATTAACTTTTCGGAAACCCATTTTCACAAACCGGTCCATTCACCAGGAACCCGCATTGTGCAGCAACTTAATAACATCAGCATCCATTAAAACTTACAGTCGCAGCAGCTCTTCTACTTCCGCTCGCGCCGGTTGGTTTCTGGGTTTGACGGAAAAGAAGCAGGTCTTGCCAGAAATTGTGAAAGCCGGTGACCCGGTTCTTCATGAACTCGCCCAGGAAGTCAGACCCGACGAAATTGGGTCGGAAAGGATCCAGAAGATCATTGAGGATATGGTTAAAGTCATGAGGAAGGCTCCTGGGGTTGGCCTTGCTGCTCCCCAGATTGGAATTCCATTAAAGGTCTGTTTATTTCTAGCAAAACTTTTTTGTTTTTTCGTTTTTTTGATCCAGCTAAAGCAGGCTTTTTTAACATTGTCAGGTTTATGATTGTTTTTATTAACAGATAATTGTATTGGAAGATACTATAGAGTATATAAGTTATGCTCCTAAGGATGACATTAAAGCACAAGACAGGCAGCCCTTTGAACTTTTGGTATTGTACTGAATAGTAGAAGTGAATTGATTTTGGCTGTTGGAATTGGACTAGTGCTAAACTGTTAATCGTGGTTGTTTTGATGCAGGTTATTATTAATCCAAAGCTTAAAAAGAAGGGGAAAAAAGCTGCATTATTTTTTGAAGGCTGTTTAAGGTATAATTAACCATCTAGTTTTGTTGCATTGTGTTTTACAGTATGTCTGTTGCATTTGCGATTTCGTTGGCTTTTTTGTTTCTGCTCGTTGAGGAAACATTTATCTGATTTGTTTAAGTCTCAAGCTAGCGAATTTCAGACATCCTGTCTTCATGCGGAAATCCGTCATGAACATACCTGGATGATCTGGGATCATAATTCATTTTGGCAATGTTTTATGATACATCTGCTGATTAGTTAATGCTTTTGAAGATAGTCGCTGAATTGGGTTTTTCGTAATAGACTAGAAAGTGCACCTGAGATTCAATTGTTTTAGCTTAAAACAACTTTTTCAAATACTAATGATTTACATGAATTTCCTAGTTTTTCTCAATTTCGTACTTAAAAGATGAGATGAGATGAATCGAGCTGAACTGAGGTGCATTGTTGGAAATTAAATATGCTTTGACAATTTATAGCCAATACGCCCAACTTTCCAGCACACTTGAGTACAGTATGAGATTTTCCTGGCCATTTTCTTCTCATAACATCGCTGAAGGGCCACATGGTCACATTTTTTCTAGGCTAGGCGCTTATTCAGTTGCATATCATACCTGAGGGTTTGAAACAAAACCGGAACAAATTTCTGAAAACCTGGGATGTGGTTTATCTAGCATATGTTTGTGAACTTGTTACTAGATGTGGAAAGTAACACTTTTGACTTGTTTATACTTGCATACATGGTATAAAAAATGCTAAAGATTACACACCCTCCTGGTTTACTTTTTAGTTAGCAGCTGTGCCCATAAGATGTGGAGTCTTAAACTTTAGCACACAAAAGTGAGAGTTCCTTTAAGCATCTTGTAGCCCTTTTGACCACATGTTGATGTCTCTTCTTTCTTTCATACAAAAACCTATTTTTGCACATTGTATGTGTTTTATTCAAGAACTCTTTGATTTGAGCTCATAATCAATCAAAGAGTTTTCAACATTCATTCACTTGCACAGCTAATCGTCATGGATGAACATCATCACAGTGGATCTTATTTTCCGGTTTTCTGATTTTATGGTTTTGCAGTGTTGACGGATTCAGAGCTGTTGTGGAACGTTGCCTAGAGGTAGAAGTTACAGGATTGAATCAAGGTGGCCAACCAATCAAAATTGATGCTTCAGGCTGGCAAGCTCGAATTTTGCAGCATGAGTGTGACCATCTAGATGGTACTCTGTATGTCGACAAGATGGTTCCAAGAACGTTTAGAACTGTAGAAAACTTGGACCTGCCACTTGCTCATGGATGTCCAAAATTGGGCGTGCGCTTGCTCTCTTAGTTAAATGCTTCTGTAGATTCTTTTTTAGTTTTCATCTGTTATCTTGGATAAAGTGGTTCAGAGTTAAGAGTTGATTCATCTATTACCGCTTACCTGTAGAATGAGATTTTATGTACTCCCGTGAAGTTTTGGAAATAGTAATACTGAGATGTTAAACATGGGTTTTCAGCTGCTGTTGCACGATATGCTTGACAGCAACTTTGGCAGTTAGGGGGGAAGAGTATGGCTTGGAGAAGAGGGATTTAGACAACTTACTGTACAAAAATTCTATAAAATGCATTTACGATGTATAGAGTGCATTGATGAATAAAGGGTCTTTCTGTATGAAAAGAATACACGCGCATTTGGAAGGCAATTCTAAAACCTATTGGCATTTGTAAACTGACTTCATCTTCTTCCGGCTTTAGACATCTGATTATATTGTACTAAAAGACATGTTATGGCACTCCTTTAAGCGGCATTAAGTGAACCAACATACTATAATACTGGCTCCATCCCCAAACTTTACGTTTGGAGAATGGTAAACATCCTCAGATGGACTGGATTGAGCCAGACTCAGCCTGCTGCTGAATGATGCGATTATTGCAGGAAGATAACAAGCAAGAAGGGGGATATACAAGACCTGAGCTCGAGCCATAAGCTTGCCAGCAAAATGATGTAGTTATTTCACCAGTGTATGAAGTGAGTTGGACATCTTCAAGATATAACATTCTACATGGAGAGCTGTCACTACATGCAAATGATACTGCTGTCTCCGTCGCTGAAGTTCCTTTTATACCAACAAATGATATCTTGTTGATGCTAACCGCTGAAGTCTGCACAATGGATTTTAAAGTCCTTAAGCCTAGAATGGTAACGCATAGTACAGATGACAACACATATAGACTACGACTGAAATTACAGGTAAAGGCAAGCCTGTCAATTAAAAAATTAGGTAAAGAGTATCTTACTTGGAAGCATGCTACTAAATGAAGGGAAGATTTTATCCCAACAAAGCACATATCTACTCTATAAAGTTCCTTGATGATAGGGTCAAGGGAGTCAGCATTTAGTTCCATGGATATGTACTACATTAAATAAATAAATGTAGACATGCACTTTCGATGTGTAATAATTTCAGCATTTTATATATTAAAAATATTTATTCTACTGTGGCTATCAAAAGCTAGAAAAATCACAATCAGGCATATGATTGCAAAGCTTGATGAACTCATTCGCTGATGCAAAGGAAAAAAGGGTTAGAGCACATAGAGAGAGAGAGATCTACACTCTAGACATGGTGCATGGGCATTGACATTGAAAGTTATTATCTTAATCACATTCAGAATTATGATTATCATTTTACCATCAAGCTCAAGCTTTTGATAGATCTCTTACCTGATTTGCACAGGGCACAAAAGAGTCGCAGTAGTATTGATTTATTATGATAGGATTCGAAACATTTTCCATCCACACATTCTGAAAAGTAATCCCACTTGCAAAACCACTGCCTCCCTAGTATTGAAAGACGGGTCAAAGGAAAATGAGATTAGGTACTCAGGAAAGATCTAATTCTAGTAAAAGCAAATCATGTCAAATGTTAGTGAAAGAAAAATCGACTCGTTGTGGGTTACTAATATCATTCTCCATAACAACTGCTCAGTTGCATGGAAAATGAATCAGATACAGAACTTGAAAGGAAGATTACCTGCCATGTTTTGATCCTTACACCATTCTCAGTATTCGTCAGATTTGCTCCATTAACTTTGACGTCATGCACTTGGTCCCGTGAATTTGATTTCCCCAAGCTTCCAATACTACGAAACAGATATTATTTCTAGAGGTTCTGCTGGTAGCATGGTTCCAAGTAACAATCAAGAGCTTATTACCTTATACCATGCCCGGGTCCACAGGTAATCCCTTCAACAAGAATTTTTGAAGAATTGCTGACAATGGATATGCAGTCATCTCCTAAAAAAATATAGGGATACTTTTAAGAAGAATGGTATCTGCTGCAGAATTTTAACTCAGAACAGCTTCATTCTCAGCTCAAAGAGCATAAGATCTTTAGTAGGAGAAAAGTACAAAAGAAAGAAAACGTCTCTTTCTCTTAATACAATCGTCTCAAACCACTTTAGCATTTTGAGTGAGTAGTCCTCACATCGTCAATCTTAGGAGTTCAAAAATTGCAACGAAACTACAACATTTCACAACTAGTATAGAGTTAGCATTATGCAAATGAGTGTGCAAAATCAGATAGTTGAATTATTTATTGTACTCCAGGGCTATCATTATTGAGATGAAACAACCTTTACCTTGAATTAACCAGTTTCATGTCTGATCTACAGAGTAACTGAATTAAATGAGCAAGTTGAATTATATTTAACCATCACTTCCTACAGAAGTAGAGTTGCAAGATTGAAAATTAATGTAAATAAGGGATTATATGATCAGCATTCAACCTACAGTAGACCCCCTAGCTACTTTAAGACTGTGATTCCAGCATATTAGCTCAGAAAGTAAGTTGGTTTCATTTTACTATATATATATATATACAAGGATAACGATAGCTATCTTGATTTTATTGATCTATTTAAATCTCTGCAATTTTTGAGGATGAAGCCAACATATATCCTACACCAATATTCCTCTGACTTGCATGAAATTTCTGGACAACTTTGACCCCAGAAACTATGAATTCATCTCCTAAAAGATTTGACCTAGCCTTTCAAAGTCTTTTGCATTTAGAGATGACAATAACAAATCTAGTCTGGAAATGATTGGAATGTCATAGATCTACAATGAGACCAATTGGTCCAACTTAACTCTCAGTGCCACTAGTTTCAAATTTTTTTGTGGTGTAAAGTATACATCACCCAAAAAACTGCAAGATGGCATACAAGCATCAAGTGTCAATAACAAGCAAGAATGCTTTCTTCTTCTTTCTTTCTTTCTTCTATTTTTTTTTTATGGGAGTGGGATTTTTTTTTTAACAAATCCTAACATGTAGCCAGAGTACTAAGACAGCCAACAAACCTGTTCTTATAATGCAATCCTTAACTTCAACATTCTTTGATGCACTAATGTGAATTCCATCTGTATTGGGGCTATGTGCAGGCGCAGAGATTCTGAGATAGGATACCACAATCTGTTTAGAACCAGTAAATGCCATGTGCATCTGCTGACTGTTAATTGACATAATGTTCCTCACGATCAAATTCTTGCATCTGTGGAATGTTATGGCCTGCATTGTTAATTATAGAACTCATTAAGGAAAAATGTTCTCCAAGCTGTCCTCATTCCGCTAGCCTAAACTAGCCATTCGCCTGTCCACCTTTACTTTCAAGAGCCCCTTCCACCCTGGGATTCTAGTTTTTCAAAGAAATTCCTTCACTACGTTATTGTAATTCATATTAGGTTGTGCATGAGAATAGCCTGCCATAGATTTACTCCTCGCCAGTGCCCCCAAAAGTACATAGACAATATCTATCAAAAGAGAAACTACCAAATTAGGTATGTATTCAGTGAGAGAATAAAGATAAAGAGGGCATGGAGAACAAAGGTGTGCTAACCTTTGGAGCACGTCGACAGGGCTGCCATATATAAACACATCTTACATCAGAAACTTGCAATTTTGAAAGGAAAAGAAAATGAAAAGAGACATATTAGGAATATTAGAGTAACGCAATGGTATACATTTGTGTGATTAATCTTGCAAGATCGAGCCCACCATTCCTTGCCACTCCCATCAACCGTCCCTCCACCTTCCACTGTGAGGTAATTCACCCCATGAAAGTAAAGCCACTTATTAGGATCCAAGCCGTCCCAAACATCCGGATCCCTGGGTGCTACAATCGTACAAGAAATCTAGGCATATAGTACAATGCAACCAATTTGAACAGTATGAGTGCTATTTAACTGCCTGACAACATATTGAACCCTGCAATGCGTTTTTTGATAACCTCTATAAAGAAATTGTATCCAGCTCTTACCCATAAAGTCAAACCTGATCTGCAAGGCCCGGAAAAATCAATTGGTCGAACCAGAAACTTTTTTCCAGCAGGGACTACAATTTTTGCTTCAGATGACAAAGAACATGCTATCTTCCATGCCTTTTGAAAAGCCTTAGCCCAAAAAGAGTAATTATTGAACAAATCCAGAAGATAAATCATCACGATGAGGTTCATCATAGTAGACACGAATACTCTTCTGTCGAGGCAAAGTTAAAACACTACAAACCTTTTACATCTTTGAGGAAGTCACTTAGACAGGATAAAGGAACTGACAAGCCTGGTTTAGAAAATTTTGATTTTAACAGATTGAAGAAAAGATAAGTCCTCTTCCTATTACCAAAAGTTTTGATTTCAGGTTCAGGTACCAAACAGAATCAGCAAAATTTCCTAGATGAAATTAGTAAAGGCATGAACAGAAATTGAAAAAATCATGTTTACAGTCACATCCATAATCCTTGTCATGCCTAGTAGTATTTATAAGTGGTAACAATTTTTCTTTCTTTACCGGGCACTAACCATTCACTTTTCACATTTCCAAAATCAGGATTGAGACCTTGACCCAGAAGATGAGAACTTGGATATCCCCATTTGTAGAGCTGAAAATGCACCTCAAAAGAAAACGAAGTTATAGCATGAACTATTATTGAGATAAAGCGACCAGGAAACCAGCCGAGTTGCATCCAAAAAAAGGTCATTTTTACTTTATTTTCTCTGTTAAGTACTGCAGAAAGAAAAATGCTCTAAGCAGCATAGCAACTGTTCATGAAAGCAACAATGAACACACATAAAGCTCAAAATAATCAGGGGTGTCTCGTTATCACCTTAAGGTTATCCAAATTAGCATTAATCACAGCTGAACACAATCATAACAAACTTAAATTGAACAGGTGGCACGGAAAAATAATAACAACACAGTGATACCTTAGTGTCATCACTCATCCCATTTCCTCTGGCCCCAAAATCATGAATGTAGAGTACAGTGCTGGAGTTCGAAACATACTGAGACGTTCTTGAACCTGGGAGCTGGATTGGAGGGTCAAACTTAACCCCACTTACATTTGTGAAATTCAAGAAGAGGAATATAATGCTAGCTCTCTGCACAAAACACAGAGAAATGCTGGAAATAATTGCAGTAGAATGAGAAGAAAAACAAACAAAAGGGGAAGATCTCAGCTTTCCCATCCACCCCGGTGCCCGTGGGAAATGCGTGGGTGGGCTTTCTCCCGCCTAGTTAATATTCTTACAAGTGCCACGTCGTGTTGGATTTGGCTGCTTTTTTGCAGGGGGTGAGAAGTTTCCTCTGCAGTACGACGACATCTTATAGGCTTGCCTCGTGGACGTTTTAGAACATCTCAGAGGCTTATAATGCAGTAGTTCGAATTTTACACCTTCTGTTAAACCAAGTTCGAAGATCTCTCTCACAAAGAAATTTTGTTATTGCCATCTAATTGTTCTAACTAATATATTGTTTTCAACATTAGAATTTAGTAAATCTAATTTAATTAACCCAAGAATTTTAATTACTAATATAAAGATTTTGTTTCACGGCGAGCTTGGATTGCTACTTTTTAAATTTTTCAGTTTGGATTGTTATTTTTTAAATATTTTTCTTTAAATATTTATAAAAAATAATTATTGTAACGATATGATATATGTGAAATAAAAAAAATATTTTAAAATGCACAAAAGAACATTTCAAAAACTTTTCACAAAAATTGTTATGTGCTTAATATTATTGTATATTCAAATTTTGAGGGTGCCGTGGCGTAAAATGCAATTACTTTCAATTGTTTATATTCTTTTCATGAATCAATTACTCATTACACTATAACGGGTCAAACTATATTGGGCTGTGAGAACTTGGGCCTAAACGGATCCAATTTCATTATTATTGCAAACACTTCTGGCAGCCTACAACCAAAGGTTTTCAACTCGTTTAAAATCACATTTTGTCAGATGACTTGACTCGGAAGAAAAGCTCTCCAACTTTACCTGTTTCATGTAGGGCTGTAATCGAATCCAACTGTTTGGGAGCAGCTCGGTCAAAAGCTTGACTCGAATTCGATCAACCCGAATTCAAGTTGAGTTGGAGTGTCTCAATAAGTCAAGCAAGTTGAGTTCGAGTATCCAAAAGTAATGCTCGAAAACTCGTCGAGCTTTATCGTGTTTTTAATTTTAATTCTTTAATAAATTATTATTATAAAATTACCCTTATACCCAAAAGAGTTGTTCAATTTATGAAATGTTTTAGATTGTATTAAAATTTTTAAAGGACGATAATATCTTTTCGCTCAAAAATTATCAAGATAATGAAATTTTCTAACTCGAGCTTGATCGAGCTTAATAAGGCTCGCATTGACTCGAGCCCATACGAGTCGAGCTCGAGTTCTGTGAACAAACATCGAGCTCGAGCATCCTTCTTGCATGTCGAGTCAAGCTCAAGTATGGTGATATTCGAACTCGATTCGGCTCGATTACATCCCTATATTGTATTCCTTAATTTTTTGGGGGACGATTGAGTTAGTTAGTAAAGTGGAAAGAATTACAAATAGGAGATTTTCGATTCAAGATCTTTCGTGTACACCAAAAGAAATTCTTGGAAGCATAATACCTATCCTTTTCTGAATCTCCAATGCGACTTGGGATTTGTACAGATGGTGTTTGTTAAGTATTTATTGAAAACTTATGGTGACTTATTGTAGTTGTTTTAAAATATATACATATATATATATTGTACTTGTTTGTTCGAAACACTACAAACATCTATTTTTTTCATCTCTCCCTCTCCACCACTCGCCATCCTACATCCTTCCCACCTCCATCACCCGTAACCTATTTAAAATTTTTATTTTTTGTATTTACATAAAATTTGTGACTGCTTTATGTAGATGGTGTTTCAAACAAACTTTTTTTTTAACAAACCAAAAGCAGGCCATCCAACACGGACCTGAAGTTATTTGGATGCTAATTTGGCTCGGTAAACTTTTTTTCAGGGCATCGTACTTCCTTTCCCTCTCCGGAAAATTGCTTTCGATTTATTTCAGAAGCTTAACATGTTTGTAGTCACTGGTCAGTAGCAAACGGTGGCCGGATCCACCTGTGAGCTGTGCACTAATTTGTTCTTGGCATTGGCTTACAAGTATTAACTAACGCTTATCTATGAGTGATGTAGAAAACTCCGGAGAATAATATGTAATGTAGCTAATAATACACACATGGATGGATTGTTGATACTCATCGAAGATGATGTTGGGGGCAATATGTTGTTCTTGCCCACTAATATTGAGACGGAGATATATGTGGTGGTTGTCCAAAAATTCTGATGAATGATTTGTTTTAGTTTGAGTTTGTTAACATCGTACCAGACACCAACGTCTGACAAGTTTCATTCGTTTAAGAAATAATTAGAAAGAAGAGCCCATGAAGAAAAGAAATGATATATATCTAGTTAGAATCTAAGTGACCATTGTTGAACCAGAAAAGATGCTAAGATCCTCATTCACTACCTATAATTTCCTTCCTGCCGTGATTTCTTGTAATAATGAGAATGAGAATATTGGATTTTGGTTTGCAAAATAACAATCTGCCATATCTCTGAAAATGTCAACTGCTATCATAATTGGAGTTTGATTTGCACCTACTTGCACGGCAACATATTATTCGCAATCTTTGGTGGTCAAAAACGGATTATGTAATAATATGACTGACTTTCAAGATGTTTCGTAGACTTCATGGATGCGTGTTTTATCGAACTTATTATTTTAGCTAGCCTTTTAAGGCTACATCTTACCAGGATCATCGTCATTCATAATTGGACGAGAGAATGACTATGTATAACGTTGATATTACTTCCTGCGCCTGGGGTAGGATTGATGCAAGAATATCAATTATTTGAGATTGAATTCAGACCTTACACCATTAGGAGCCAATAACTTGTCATCCTGCGTTGATAGGATTATCATTATTATTATTTCTTGGGTGCATATATCATTTTTCACCGAAAGTGATTGAACCCAAATGCACCAGATGATGATGATAGGCAGGGCAGATGAGGTTTTGTTGCCCTCATTCTTTCTATCCTTTTGTTGCCCTCATATATATACACATATATGGTTCCTGATTTGACCGATGCAAATTGTATGGAGTGGGTGTAAAGATTAAAGAGTGATTATGTGGGCGTATATTTTTTACGTGCATCAGATTTTGCATGCTCATCGTGGGCAATTCTCTTTGATGCCACACAAGCTAAGAGTCCGAAACTTGTTCAGGCGAAAGCAATTGTAAACGATCGGGAACAAACCTCATTCATTCGCAATTAATATGGACTTGTCGAGAAGAAGGAAGGATATCTGAAACGAACAGAAATACTAGTGCTTCTTCTCAACTTGCAAGTCATGACTTGTTCAACTATAAAATAAGCAAAGATGGAGAAACACCAAACCAATTTTGCGTTGCTTTCCGTGTATGGATAATGTTAGTAGTATATTTGAGCAACTAATTAGAAAGTGTCAGCTATCCATACTTCTAAAGATGCTGTTGCTGATTCTTGAGAAATTGGTAAGTAATGACAATGACTCCACTTAATTGGGTTTTTCAGATTTTCTTAGTTTTCTAACTTGAAAAGGGTGGATTTTTGCCAAGCAGACACTCATACTGCACCAAAAACGCTTCTTACGAGTTAAGACTCTTTCCACCCAGTAACGATTCTTTCTACTATTTTATACCCCATGTACAAATAAAGAGCAGAATAGATGCTGCAGCTAGCTACATGGAAAGAAATGATCAGAAGAGCTGTTCTCTTTTCCAATGATGGCCCTGTGAGATTGTTGTAATTCAAGGACAGATTCAGACGCTGCCCTAATGGGTTATTCTAGTAACGCCTTGTTTTGGGCCTTTTATTTATCGAGTTTAATTTTGGTGGCTAATTACACTGGAAAGGTAGACAGGATTAATGAACTTTTGTCGCTACCCCTTTCTCTTTTCACAAAAAAAAAAAAAAAAAATTGCTTTTGGGTTATGGCTCCTCATGTGATTCATGGGCTTTCTGAAGTTGGTCTGAAAAAAACATAAAGATTGATTGAGTAGACATGCTGTTTGCGTGTATCAGATTTGTTTGTCAAGTGAATTGCAGACAGCAACAAAATCTTCTTTCCAATCGGCCGATGGCATCAGTTGAGTTGCCTTAGTTATGCTCAAAATTAAATCTTCCTTTCCACAGCATTTTCACCATGCTTCCTTTTTGCACTGCTGAATTTACTTAAAAAAAGGTTGTTGGTTGCAGAATTGGATGCAGAAGAACAGAAGTTTGTAGATTGCAAGCGTTCAAATTGAAAGAACACTAAAAATAAACCGAGTTTGTCCGGCAGTGATTTTGCTTTGCTTACCCTCCCTAACCCAAAATCCTAAAACCAGCTGAACTCACAAAAGGAAAATGTAATAAACTAAAGGTGAACCACAGAGAAGCTGAGATTGGCCATACCAGATTTCAACGATCACATGCCATCATGTCTAACGGATTAAAAAAAAAAAAAAAACTTTATTCAGACTGCCACAAATCTCACACCTTGACAGAGAAAATAATACTAAAGTAGTCAGCGGCGGAGCCATTTGCTTTAATTTTTATCAGTTTGTGTATTTTAATAGCAATGGAAAAAATTGAGTACTCCTATTCCTATAAGAGAGAAACTATGAAAGAAATTTTTGTTGCTTAGGAATGGTGATGTAATGAGTGATGAGGACTGGTCAAAATATCAGGGGAAAACATGAAAAGAAGATGGTGTGTTATAAACTTGAAGGGAGGGGGTAATCTTGAAATTAAATTTAGCAAAGCTGACGTGGCTCCGCCACTGTAGTATACTGTGGATTGTTTCCGCGGCCATAAATCAGCTAAACCAGAAATGGTATCAATAATATCATGTGTGTGTAAGTCACGTTCGGATAGTCTCGGGATAGCCTGGTTAGGTCTTGAGATCGTGTGTTCGAATCACCTCTCTATCACCTCTCTATCATTTGTATATCCTGAAGGGACGGAATGCACAGGCAGGCACAGAGAGATTAATCGCACAAAACTGCAGCAAAGAAGGTGAATACCTGATTGCAGCATACATCTCAATTAAGCAAGCAAACAGATGTGCGGATGCATCGGCCTGAACCACCAGTGGTAGTGTGTGATATTAAAAGGATTCAATTGTCACCGGTGAATTAATCTCAAATCATTTGCATCAAGTCCCATGATAGTGTGAAACTAAGTAGTCATGCTACTACTAATATTCTGTAGTACCAAAAGGCCAAAGGCCG